TATATGTTGAAAGTGGGGGTTGATCGATCTTCTACACGCAATAGCATTGAATTATAACTATCTTGTTATGTTTTATAAAAATATTATAACAACGCTTGGAACACATCCACCTGCAAGATCCATAAGAACCATTCTCTCGAAAAACAAACAAAATCACTTTCTTCTCTCAAGGTCTCTTTGATTCCTCACTCACTCAGCCACAGTGAATCCTCGGTAATTTACTAATATACATTTCTTCTTCTTCTCTTGCACTTTTCCTCTTGAGTTTTCTGACGTTGCTTAGTTTCTTATTGGACGGTGAAATACAAAATTAAAGACCGATAAAAATTCTACCAAAGAAACCCCATTACAAAAAAACTAGGTGTTAAAGAAACCCACATTTTTTATGTAATTCCTAAATTAAGCCCCATCATGCGACTTCTACAAAATGTATTTTCATTAATTACTTGTTCAAATGATTTCTATTCAATTGTTTTCATTTTATATTTGACAAAGAACATGTTTTCTAGTCAATTGTTCAAATGATTTCACGTTTTTAATTATCGTCACAATACATATCGATAATGGTCATAGTCCTACCGTGAATATAAATAGCAGGCTACACTGTCATCTTCATGATTACTGATCTTAGAGATGACGTTTGAAATATAAGTCATAAATAAATTTCACTAATGCATTGTTCATCACAACTCTTCTTCTTGTTACTACGATTGATCACAACTTCCAATATTGTTTCTCTCTCTTTTAATTTATTTTGAGATTTATATAATATTGTTTGGGCTTTAATTAAGGACTATATAGAGGGTTCGTTAGTTTGTTGTTTGTAAGAGTGAGGGAGAGAAACGTGGAGATAGAGGCGTCGAAGAGAGGGAGATCGTGAATGGATTATTAAGAGTTGCCTATTTCTCTTGCTTTAAAGTTAACAAAAATCCAAGAAATTTGGTTGATTAAGCCATATAGGTAATGGTTTTCTTCTAGATCGTAATTTTTTCTACCAACTTTATTATAAAAAAATCATTTCAAGTGTTTGTATATAAAAAAAAAACTATTCAAATTCTAGTTTGAATTCAATACTATATATAAAATTGGTAGAAAAATCATCAGTTTTTCCACAGTCGCGTTACAGAGGAAGTATGGTCTAGTCTTACTCGGAACTTCTTAATCTCCAACGACAAGAAGAGTTGGGATGATATTGTGCAGTTGCTTACTATCAACTCTCATGATTTGATTACCCAA